AGGAAAGGAAAGGAAAGGAAAGGAAAGGAAAGGAAAGGAAAGGAAAGGAAAGGAAAGACCTCCCCCAAATAAAAGGTAGTAGCATAATCCATTGAAAACTCAGTGGGCGCTGAATACTGTCTTTTCAGGCTTGGCAGGTTGGGGGGAACCTTCGGGGAGAGGTGGCAAACCATGTAGTCACCAGAATTATAATACAAACCAAAATAGAAATCATGAACACATGGAACTAATTCTTGTCAGAGCCATGTTAAAACTGAATGCTGAATACCGTGTATTTTAAAACCTCTGTGTGACAAAATGTTGAAATTACACATTGCAAAAATAAAAAGAGAAGCTAGTTGTTCCAGATATAGAAGTTTTAAAACACACTGATATCTGTCTAGATGATACAGTGGAGTTCTGTGCATCTAATATGGAAATTCTACCGAGCAAGCAAGTGCTAGACTGTACTAGTAAGCATATAATGGAACAATGTTATGGTTTTTGTATCATAAATGGAAATGTAAGAGGCCTCGTACACTCATAGATAGATGGGCCTCTAATATCCCTATTAATATCTAAAAATATGTCTTCTGAAAGGGCTGAATGCAAACAAAAGGGTGGCATAACCTGATTTACGTGGATCTATGTATTACATGGATCCTTTGTGTAGGCTAATTGAGGGACTTGATGTTATCTTCTACTAGGGAGGCCTTGTTTGTCAAAGCAAGCTAATATTAAGTTATTGCAAAAAATGCAAGGGACAGGAAGTGGAGAAGACATTGGCTCCATGATTAAAGATGCAAAATTGCTTCAGGTTTTACCATACGCTGAGCTATTGAGATCAGCAGCTGAAAATACATAGGAGCAGCAGGCTTAAGAATAATCCAAAGCACAGAATCAAATCTACATATTAATCAAAAAAGCAAGTTACCTAGTTTCTTACTGGGTACTTGGTGACATTAACCACTTGCACAGCTTCACTGGAGATTAATCAATATTAAGATAGTTAGTGAATAACAATGGTTATTCCTGGAATAAGTCCTTGGAATCCAGTCACAACTTGTCTTAAAGCAGTGTTGTCCAAACTTGGCCACTTTAAGATGAGTGGACTTCAATTCCCAGAATTCCCCAGCCAGCATGGTTAAGTCCACTCATCTTAAAGTGGCCAAGTTTGGACAGCACTGTCTTAAAGGTAGCATCATATGGTATAAAATATTGTGTAGGACCTGAAAAAGAGTGGTTTGGATTTTGAGGGGGAGGGGTTTGTTTTTGGTGTTTCTGAGGACACAGATCATACCTTTCTTTGTCAATGTGCTTAGTGTGTTGAAAAGTAATTATTCTTTCTTGCAGTGATTCTATTTCATCCTCACAAATGAATCTTTCAGCTCTTTAAGAGTTGATTTTGTAATTT